ATTGATCGTCATTTTATATAAAAAATGTCCTATACCAATTTTTTGTTACAAAATTGTAATATACAAGAGTAGAAAAAAGCATTTAGGAGAATAGAACACAACTCTTTAACATTGGCATTTATTTTATTATAAACATCAATTTATATATATATATTGTACTTCATATCGGTTCCTGCCTCAGGTGATAACTGAGGCACCTCAGATGCCGATCATCATATGAGATGTGTCACATATTGATCGGTCCTAAGGTACCTCAGTTGTCATCTGAGGCACCTCAATTGTCAACTGAGGCAAATAGTAAATAATTAATTGATCATTTAAAATATAGGTTAAAGAGAGGCTTATAGTAAAACTTTAAATATTACTAATGCAAATTTATTTCAATATAATATAATTCTCTGTCTATTTAAATTAGAAAATCAAAAAAAAATCAAGTTGACTAGTATTCACAAGACTTTATTAGTACGAAGTAGCTATAATACCGGGAGAGTAAAGTAGTAGATCAATTGATCGATATAAAATTAACCATTAAAGTAAAATAATTTATAAATCCACAGTATCATTCGCTCTATACAAAGATTAAGTATACGATTATCTTACAACCTATTAATCAGAATTGAATGTTTTTTTATATCATTCAATATATAATTTACCACTTTATCTACCCCTGCCATAATATCTCTCTTTACCTTATATTAATTAAAATTAATAACATATTATATTTGTATACTGCTTAAACTTTAATAGATTTTTTTAAAAAAAATAAAGGTACAATGTAATTAATATTTTTACACAATACAATTAAAAAAAAAATACTATTTAGTTTTAACAGTAATTCATGAGAAAATCTCTGCCTCTAGAAAAATGTAATTTAAATTTCTGCCTCTAGAAAAAAGTAATTTAAATTTACTACGTATAGCTAAGATTAATTCTTATTTGAATATGATTTTCTAATATGATATCTGCTTGTACAATTTTCACCCATTCGTTTGCATTTACACTTATTGTTATTACAAGGCCTCTTGCAATTGCAAATACCATTTGACACTAATCCTACACTCTGAAGTCTTGATGCCTCTCAAACAGATAGCATATGCGATGGGATTTCATTAAAATCAGAATAAGAGATGGTTTCAAGAAACTCAAGTTCCCCTGATATGTAACAAATATTGATAATATCAAATTTGCACTCTAATTAGTATTTTTTGCCAATTATGTCAACAATTTTGCAAGGAAGTATAGGACGATCAGTTCTGAATCAATCAATTTTTAGAATATTAATCCGTACCAAGTCACCAATATGAAACTCGAAAATTTTTCTTTTTTTTGTCATCTGATTTACTATTTTCTCAGTGTAAATCTGAAGGTCCCATCGTGCTGCACTTCGCAATAATTTATGCGAGGTATTTGTAATATCAGTAAGAACTGGGACATCTCCTGTTTGTTAGTGTAAGATTCAAAAAATTATTAAAGAATAAAAATGTACATAAACAAAAAAAAGGAATTATGAACTTACTCAAAATGCCACTACTATTAACCAGTTGAGATTTCAGACTTTCACTTGAAGTAAAAATATAATGATAATTAGTATTAAACAAATAAAATAAAATAAAAAAAACCCCACGAACTTGTTTAAAATGCTGCCACCATTAACATTAACTAATTGCTGTTGTAATGGTCCCGAGTCTTTACCTAAGAGTAAAAATATTAGTAAATAGCATTATATAGCAAGACTGGACTTTTTAAACTAACCTGAAATGATATTATTATAATCAGGTGGATGGTATAGTAGTTCAAAGCTTGCATCTACAAATTTAGGTCCAATTTAATAATAAAAAATATTTAAATAAACTATATCATTGTAAACTTACCAAAAATATTATCATCATTATTTGGTTGCTGGTAACATGAAGGTGTCAGGCTTTTATCTATAAATCTAAACTTTAGTAACAATAAATATAGTAGAATAAATCGCATCAAATGTAAAATTACTCAAAACGTTGGTGCTATTCTCATCTCAATAGTACGAGAATTCCCTGTTGTTATCTATAAATTTAGAATTTAAATTAACAGTAATAAAAATAATAATTGTATAACATATTAACTTATATATTAACATACCCGAAGTACTATTTCTACTATTTTGCTGATGGTACGAAAATTCAGGGCCTCTATCTATGAATTTGAAATGCAAATTAACAATAATAATATTAAAAAAAAAAAAGCATCAAATATTAACTTACCTGACATGTTGGTACTATTTTCATGTTGATAGTATAAGGGTTCCATGCTTTCATCTATAAAAAATTTAGATTGTAAGTTAACAGTAATAAAAATAATGATTGTACAATATATTAACTTACCTGAAATATCATTTTTGTTATTTTGCTGATGGTACAAAAATTCAGGGCCTCTATCTATGAATTTGAAACGCAAATTAACAATAATAAAATTAAAAAAAAAAAAGTATCAAATATTAATTTACCTGACATGTTGATGCTATTTTCATATTGATAGTATAAGGGTTCCATGCTTTTATTTATAAAAAATTTGTAATGTAAGTTAACAATAATAAAAATAACGTTTGTATAATATATTAACTTACCCGAAGTATCTCTGTTATTCCACTAATGATATAAAAGCTCAGGGCCTCTATCTATGAATTTGAAATGCAATTTAATAATAATAATATTAAAAAAAAAAAGTATCGAATATTAACTTACCCAAAATATTGACACTATTTTTATGTCAATGGTATGAGAATTCTATGCTTTTATCTATAAATTTAGAATGTAAGCCAACAGTAATAAAAATAATGATTATACAATATATTAGTTTACCTGAAGTACTATCTCTGTTATTCTGCTGATGATACAACAAAAGTTTAGGACCTCTAACTATGAATTTAAAATGTGAATTAATAATAATATTAAAAAAAGTATCGAATAGAGAATGCAAGTTAATAGTAATAAGAATAATGATGCTTAACATTTTAATATATCTAATATATTATCTTCATTATTCTGTCGATAGTGTGAAAGTTCAGGATTTCTATCTATAAATTTAGACTACAAATTAATAATAATAATATATAAAAAAAAAAAAAAAAAAACATCAAATATTGACTTACCCAAAGTATAATTATTATTTAATTCTGGATCTCTTTCTAAAAATTATAAATTTGAGTTAGTAATGTAATAAAATTATTGAATTTAAACTGATATTAAATCATTCAAAGTGCTATTACCATACTGATGTAAAACTTCAAAATTTTCATCTAAAAAATTGTAAATATATTAATTAAAATGTGAATAAAATCAAATAATCATGATATATTAATATACTCTTATAGTTTTTTTTTAGATAGTAATTTATGCATAGGCTTTAGAAAAAATTAAATAATTAAAAAATCAAGAATAAAATCTTACTATTTATGTTGTTATCCAAATCCAGAATAGAATTACTCTGAATGTCAATAGTATCCAGAATTTCTTCTTTATCACGAATATTCCTTTCAAACAAATCATCAACTAACGTACAATTGCCGCAGGGTTTATCTCCATAAATGAGTTCGTAGGAGGTTTTCTTATATGATCGATACTACGAAGTGTTCATAACAGTAATTACAAATCTTAAACCCCATGACTAGTCGCCTTAACCGGTTTCTTCCTTCTACTTGCCTATTTTCTGCTCTAATATTCTGTTTGCATGTTCTACTAGCCCTTGGAGCTGAGGGTGCCTAGGGCGCCCATTTATGATCTTAACCGAGGGCCATAATTCTATTAATTCTTTAATAACTTCTGCGCAAAACTCCTTTCTGTTATTTGACTAAAGTATTAGAGGAGATGATCCAATTAAATGAAAAAGATCAAACAAGTAGGCTGCCACTTCAATTGCCCATTTAGAGGTAAGAGCTTTCGCCCAAGAGAATCTTGAGAAATGATCACGTACATGACATATGTACTTAAATTCTCTGTCTGGATCAAAAGTCATGTCAATAAGGTTGATCTAAAAACAAATAAGTCAAATAAAATTTATGTTATATTTAAATAAAATAAAAATAAAAAAAAATAAAAAAAGTAAAATAGATCACTTGAACATGGTATTACAAGTAGACTGTAGTCTTTTTAATACAGCACAAGTAACAAAGCATAC